CAGGATTCCTGCCGAAAAATTACAAAATAACACATTAAAAACAAAGGGGAAGCCCCCTTGGAATGCACAAGGGTGCTACAAGGCAAACAGTCACTTAGAAGTTAGTTAAGTAATTCTGAATGGGTAAGGTTATACCCCTGCCCTTTATTCTACAATTAGTGCAAGTGACTGAAGGCAGCAATACACGTATAATAGGGAATGGGGTGAGAATGATATTACATAGAATGGCCCTCACTGATTTAATTAATATATTAACATAACATTAGCAATATAACTAAAAATATTTCCTCATTCACTTAAAAATGTATTGAATTTTAAGTACACACATACTGTGTTATATGACACGAGGAAATGACCTTCGAATGCATTAGCAGCAACTGGGAGGAAATATTTTGAAATCAGTGTTCTCTGAGTGGAAATACTGAGGCAAAGAGAAGGTATTGGAATTGTCAGATATAAAACCTCTTCTTTTGTTAGTGGTTCAGGCCTTGCTCATGGTCAGTTGCTTTCATTTAGGAAATAACAATCTTATCAAGATTTAACTGACCTCTGTTAAATAAGCAGATGTTTAAAACTTGCAGGAAACTAGCTCTGTTACTCATTCAAACATCTGCTGAGTTAGTCATTGTGCTCTAGCATTTTAGCCTTACGTACTTTAAAGTGTTAACATGGAGATGCCATAAGAGCTGAGTGCTACTGCACAGCTCAAGGTGGTCTACCTTTTGAATATGACAGCTAGACACTTATGTTTGATGAGCTAATGCCCAGGGTTGTCAAAAGTAGCCGGCTGCCGGCAAAAATCACCACCTACTTGGTTAGTATCAGCTGGCTACTCTGCTTAGCATTTCTTTACAGATGCCATTTTGAAATAAAATATCCCTGTAATGGCCGCTTACTTTGACAACTCAGCCTTCTACCTCAAAACTTTCTGACAACCCTGAATAACTTTTACTTTTTCTTTGGATTTCTCTACTACTTGGACTGAAAATTTGTAAGAAAAAAAGCCAAGGACCTTATGACTTCTTTTGCTTTTTTTTATTTAGCTTCTTTTGTACCTGCAAGAATTTTCACAAAAGATGATCTCTCAGACACATGAAATTGAAACCCAGGTGGATGGTTTAGTCAATAGCACGAAGGTAAGTCAGCAAGCTACAAAGTCACCCATGACAAGAATAGAAATGACAGAAATAACGGGACAAATAAACAAAAGACTGCAATAAATTTTTTCAGTCTCTCTTTTATTTCAGCCTTAGGTTTTCCACCAAATCTAAATTATCATCCTGAATTCATGTAACAGTGTACAGTCAACTACCTCTAAGACGGACACCTTTGGAACCGGCAGTAAGTGTCCATCTCAGAGAGATGTCCATCTTATAGAGAGTCAAATCAAGGGAGTAAAGAAAGGCAGGGACCAACTCTAGGAGTCTGTTTTACACATCCATCTTATAGAGGTGTCCGTTACGAGAGAGTCGACTGTATGGGGAAAATGTAATCTTTGCTGATGTCATTGTTTACATTTTTCTCATTAGCATAGGGGTTAACCCATAGAATATGTCGTCGTATGCACAAATGAGGTTCAAATAATGAAAGAGCTGGTTACTTTGAGCAGTTTGTGCAATTTTCAGCTCTTTGCATTCAGTGTCATAGGAAATAGCAGCAATCAAAACCTGCGAAGTTGCTAGGTTGCAAAAATATATGCTAATTGGCTCATTTATTCTTTGCAAACTTTGATTTTTTGGAAGAGAATTTCTCCAAAACTATTTGGTATATGAGGCTCAAATTTTCGGAGATAACTGAAATTGTTATGCTCTTTCAATATTCAGAGTTGTTATTTTAATAGCTTTATTACGGAATGAAACGTGTATGTTAGTGAATCAAAAAATGTAAACAAAGATTCACCTATAAACCAGACTGTTTATGAAGGTCATCAGTATATAAGCAACTGCCATTGAAATTCCCACATTTTTGTATTCCTTTGACAGGGAATGGATTCCAAGGTGCAAAATACAATGAATGACTTCTTAATGTTGTCTAATAATCAGTTCATTGAAAACGTAAGTAATGCTATCTTAATCTTTCCAAGTGTTGATGTCAGTATTCCTACAGTTTTGTCACTTGATCAGACAGATCTAGAGACATCATTATGCAGGCTCTAAAATTAATGAAGCAATGAAGAAAGGAGAAGGGGGAGGAGGGTGAGGCAACGAAGGAAGGAGTAGGGGGAGGGGGAGGAAATAGAGGAAGGAGTAGGGGGAGGAGGGTGAGTTAATGAAGTAATGAAGAAAGGAGGAGGGTGAGGCAATGAAGGAAGGAGTAGGGGGAGGGTGAAGTAATAACGGAAGGAGTAGTGGAGGAGGGTGAGGCAATGAAGAAAGGAGTAGGGGGAGGAGGGTGAGGCAATGAAGGAAAGAGTAGGGGAAGGGTGAGGCAATGAGGCAATGAAGAAAGGAGTAGGGGGAGGAGGATGTGGCAGTGAAGGAAGGAGCAGAGGGGAGGAGGGTGAGGCAATGAAGGAAGGAGTAGGGGAAGGGTGAGGCAATGAAGCAATGAAGAAAGGAGTAGGGGGAGAAGGGTGAGGCAATGAAGGAAGGAGTAGGGGAAGGTAAGGCAATGAAGCAGTGAAGGAAGGAGTAGGGGGAGGAGGGTGAGGCAATGAAGGAAGGAGTAGGGGAAGGGTGAGGGGAGAGAAATAGGGTATAGGGGGAAAGAGTGAGAATGTTTTGGTGAACCACAGGTTAAAGCCACAATGTAATAAAGAAGGGGAGAAACAGCTTCGAGTAAGCAGCTTTTAACCCACAATCCTTCCTCCTAGTTTCCTTACTTGGTAGCAATATCTTCATATAATGCTGCTTTTTTGGTAATGAATTTGTGGCTGAATAAAATTTATTCAAGCCTAGGGTTGCTTACCATTAGTTAGAGAACTGGCTAACCAGACCAGTCCAGTTGTGAGGAGAATTTCACAATTAACCAGGATTCCTCGGCCAGATCAGTATGTTCCTAAATACTATACACAGCAGTGATAAGGTTTTAGTGAAAAGTCTCGCGAAAAATCTGTCTTGAAAGTGGAGATGAACCCCACAGTTGAATAAACAACCTAAGCGGTTGAATAAAAACCTGAACATAAATTCAGGCTTGACTGGGAATCAAACTCTGACCTTTGCAATGACAGTGACTCTAATATGTACATATTTTTTTCACTCAAATATTACTCTGATCTTAGTTGGACCTTTCGTGGTACCCATAAATATACTGGTTTTTTTTTTACTATTCTCATACCAACTAGCGTGTGTATGAAGAAGATGTTAGCAAAGATGAAACCAATGAAGTAGAAGAGAAAACTGCAGAGCCAGAAAAGGTATTTATTTCATTCAATGCTTGCAGTATTATTCTGTCCTGTTGACATGGGCAGTGATAACTCAAGCTTACTCCCTACTTTACTCGATGGCCTTAAAGATCACGTTCTCTCTTTTGGTGAGAATGAGATGCACATAGCTCATCCAGTACAGTCAATAAAAGCATTCAGGTCAGTATACATTGCACTGAAACTAAGAATATTAACAGTTTTCCTGTGGTCTTACAAAATTGTTGAAGGGTGGGATTTACGACATTGATGTCTTCACATCTTGACAAAACAACATTGCAGTTTTTTACATGTCCATTCTCACTAAATTTGGTGCTGTTAAATGGTAATTTATTTACTGTGGACCTACAGGATTATTTTGTTTTGCCATCAAAGCTGTTTTCCAATTCTCAGTACTGTACAGTTTTGAGATTGCTACAACCCACCCCACCCCAACCACTATAACAATGATAAAGGTGCTCATCGATAGGTTTAAAAAAATTAATGTGTGTGAAAGAAAAGAATCTTGCCTACAGTGGGTGTGGCTCAAATCCAATAATTATTTTAACCCCTAAGAAGAACCAGCTGTGTAACTAATACTCCCATTCATTTTTTGGCTTGTTACCCTAGACAAACCACTCAAAGGTATTGCACAAAACTAAAGGACAGTCATGTCAGGTTTTAGCTCCCTATGCAATGCCAATCCACACATTTTACCCCTAGTAAGGGCTCTACGCTATATCTTTGCCATGACTATTTTTTGGTTGTTAATTGCTTGCAAAGTATATATGATCATCCTTCCAGATTTCTGTTGACACTTTGGATTTTTGTTTTGGCTGATGAGATCTCTTATAGATCCCATGCCCTGCCGCATAATTTATTGATACAGAAAGTAACCAGCCCTTTATTTTTTAAATTGGAAGTATCCCTCAAGCCTCAATGCTGGCCTTTTGAAGGAAATTAGATTCTCTTTTGAGTGGCACTCTACTGCAGCAAAGTTTACGTACAATTTTGTTTCAAGAGTTTAGCGTGACAGGTTATTTCATAAGTGGCATACTATTTTGAATCCTATTTAAAATTAACTGAAACTCTTTCTGTCTCATCAAAAGGCAAAAACAAGAGAACAGAGAGAAGCAGAAGTAATACCCAGGCTTAGTGAAGCTGTTAAACATGGCATCAGTGTGATGGAAAATGCATTTGTTACTCTTGAGCTTACTACAGAACGTAAGTAGAGTAGTGCACTATTTGGTTTGTCAACGTGTAAAATATTTTACTTCTACTAGACCTTTCTCACATCCAAGGAACCAATCTTAGTTGACAAACCAAGCTATGCCCTCATTGTATTCATGCATTGCTTGTGCTCATTGGAATAGAATACAGCGTCACCTACAGAACAAGTCCTTAATTATTTCTATGAATAGCAGTTGATGGTTCCTTAAATCATCTGGATAATTTGTGGTTAAAATTCTTGAGTTTAGCGAGTTTTGAGTAATGTTTTATTTCAAGCGGAATTGTCAGTTACACCCTTTTGCACCAAGCCCCTAATATTAAACTGTGCAACTATAAAAACTCCGGTGAAAATTTCTTGCCACATGCAGGTTATGTGACCTTAAAACATTTTACAAGAACACATGCAGCTGGGGGGAAATTCCTGTAATGTGATTTAGTTTGATGCAATTTAAGTTAGTTTACTACGAGGAGCAAACATTAATTAGTAGCATTAATTAGAATTGCAGAATGGGCATTTCGTATTATTTAGTATGGGCCATTTTTGTTCAAAAAAGGTAGTACTTTGTGTTCTGTCCTACAGACTCGGATGACGAAGAGGAGGAAGATGAAGATATCAAGACAGGATACAAGCCTCAAGTTATTTTGGAACCAAAGGTAGATCTTGACTAGCAATAATGAAAATTAAGCAAGTTTAAGTTTAATTTTTATTTGTCTCAAACTCATTTTCATTCACTGCATATACTGTACTGGATGCCAAACCATAACCATTAATAATAATAATAATAGTAATAAATTATCAATGCTTTGACACAGAATTCTGTTTGATAGCATCAGGGAAAACAATATATGTTGTGGTTCAAATTTAATGTTTGGTTTGAATTTTTTAAAATCAGTTAAAATTTTTCAAACTGGTTAGAAATTTTTAAAACCATAACACTTACATGCGCAAGTGTTTGAAGTCTCAATGCTTTTCTATTTTTAAGGATGTCTACGGAAATCGGCCATTACCTCATCTGATTGGCACATCAGATTTCTTCAGGGATGAGCTTGTTGGACTGGGAGAGTCATCTGGAGAAGGTACCACAATAAATTGATATAGATTATTTGTTTTTGTTTTTTTTTTTACATGCAGTTAAATGCAGTTTATCAGAGTTAATAACAAGGAGTGTTAGTCTTATCTTGCTGGCTATCCGTATTGCCAGATGTGCCTGCACCAGGATCCCAAGTGCTCTTGGAGTTGTGTGCATTGTAGCATGTTCAGATGCACTAACTTAAGCATTCTGGCATTTTGGTGTTTTTGGGCAGTTGTGAATTAGTGAGCATTTATCCAGCCCTGGTACATGTATTTCACAATCGTGGAGACTCAGGTTATGGTGGTTTCCCACCCCCTTCCCTCCCTCTTTCCACTGTCTTGCCCATTGTGGTGGGTGCCTGCTTTCTTCCCTTTCGCGTGGTGGCTCATGGAGCCCTGCATTGCCAGGATTTGCCAGCCATGGGAGCAGTCTCCTTCTAGGGGCTGCCAGGCTGCCAATAGTGAAAGCTCCTGGATGTCTCAGGCACCAAACTTCCACTTCTCAAGTAATTATTTTTTTAAAGCTAGCGACAATTATTTATCATTGCCAGAAACTAATATTATTTTTGTTTGCCAGTAGTTCTTTATGTTGTCAATTTATTTCTGTCAACTTTAATTTTTGCTTGTTTCAATTTAACAGAAGATGAGGGAGAGGAAGAGGAAGGAGAATCCAGTGAAAATGAAAGTGAAAGTGAATCATCAGCATCTTCCAAAAGCAGTGAATCAGAGAGTGAGGCAAGTTAAAATTAGTAGAGTAAAAACCCACAAGGAAGAACCTGGTTTTAAAGAACCTTTTAGGCTAAAATTTGCCAGTTAGAACCCATTTTATACAAGAACCTGTTTAAGCCTAAAATTTGAAACAGGTTCCTATTTTCTTCAATCTTTAAAAAAAAATTAGGAAAATGCAGGGTCTTACTTGCAGGTTTTTATTGAATAATCAGCAGTCTTATACAATTTGTTAAATGCTAAGAAATAAATAGTATTAAACAAACAATCTGTCAAAGAGTTTTCATTTGAATATTAGCATCAGAGGATTTTGTTCACAGATTATGAAGGTAGAGTGACAAGTAATCTTGCTATAACTTTGACTAGGAGTGAAATGGCTAGTCTGGATTAAGTGATTACATGAAAATTTCATAGATCATCATATTTATTAGCCTGAGAAAACAGCCAACTTATCATGGTGCCACAACTAGTTTCATCAAAAAATTACGTCTGAGGAAGGAGCAAAGAAATTCCTTACTGATGACATGTTACTACCCAAATCCGCATAGTACTTCTGATTGGTTGAAAATCTACTTCATCCAGTCAGAAGCACTAACCAGATCAGGGTGTTGTTTCATCATCAATAGACAGATTTAGCAAAGACAATGCAATTGCTGTGACGACGGCATGTGCAAATCAAAAAACCGGCTTGACCAATGGCAGAGAGGTAAATTGGGCACTGGAAGTTGTACTAGGTCCTTTATGCGTTCTATTCCGTCTTCAAATGACATTCCCGTTCTGTTGCTAAATCACTCTAGTATGTAATTTTTGGGCTTGTTTCTTAGACGTCATTTTGCAAGGACAGCAGTGGTGGCAGCATGAAATGTTGACTCTTTCCTCAGGCTGTATTTTTATAAGTTTAAATTTTATTCATACAGAGCTCAGAAGAAGGCAGCAGTGAATCAGAGACAGAAACACCTAAGGAAACTGAGAAAAAACAAAAACAAAAGGCAAAGGTATGTCACCATTAATATAGCTTTATTTAGGTGCAGTCTCTGAATAAAAGCTGCATAGAGTAGAGGACAAAAAGAATTTTTTTTTGGAACAGAAGATTGAGTCAGAAGATGAGGATGAAGACGATTTATTTGGAGAGAAAAAGAAACTGTCAGAATCAGAGGATGACGAAGAAGAAGAAGAAGAGGAGAAAAAGGAACAGCCTAAAACGGTGAGGGTTATAACTGTTGAGTAAACAGTAACCATACTGGTACCTTATTGCAAAAAAATTGTGAAACTGAAGACTCATGAGGAATTTGAGATGGAATCCATCAGGAAATTGAGTAATTTTAATTATCAGTGGGCAAAAACCTTGTACCAGAATAATGTAACGGATATTGCATTCTTTTTTTCGGTTTTTTACGGGTTAAAGATGTAATTAGTCTGTAATAACACCAAAGAAAATTTCTAATGGGAGTCTGAGAAAATGAATGCCAAATTTCACAAGAATTGTGAAAACACAGGTAAAATTCTAAAAATTTCATGTGTAAGAAGTCATTTTGTGAAATTTGACATTTATTTTCTCCTTTTCCTTCTCCCTTGTTTTCTCAACAAGGGAGAAGGAAAAGGATGTCAAGCACAGCATCTCAATGTTATTCCTTCAATTGACCCAAGTTGTAATGTCTTTTATTGTGGTGGTGGTTTGGTCACATGGAGAAAATGAGACTTGCTTGTAACTTCCTCTTGCACTCAAGAAGTTTAACCCAAGGAAAATTCAGTGTGTGACTAAAATAAATGTTAAAGATTTACTTCTTGTGTCTACAGCCCAGGGGTGGTTTAGACTTTGCTGCAGAGCTTGCAGCCAAAATTGGTGTTGCACCTCCCAAGCGACAAGATAGTGAAGATGAAGATGATGAGGAAAAACCGGCTGATGGTGAATGGAGTGATGAAGAACATCAAATACCACAAACTGCTGTAGACCAGGAAAAAGAGCGCAGTGAATCAAAAAGGAGCCGTGGCGACAGCAAAACAAAAGAGAAAAAATCTCATCATCATCACCATCACAAGAAAGATAGGTCTGAATCACATGGAGAGCATAAGCACAGGAAAAGGCGTGGCAGTAAGACAAGTCACAGTAGTGTGGACACACGGCAGTCTGTTCCTGCTGAAGATGGTGAGAATTGCCCATAATGATAATGATAATGACAATAGAAATAATAAGTCCTTTATTTACCCTTGGCAGTATTTGTAGCACTAATGCTAGTGGGCCCGAGCAAATACCTGAAACAAATAATTTAAATCAAACTTTATCATTACTCCAGCATTCTCTTTCTCGAAGCACCTCCCTCCCCTCCCACCACACCCACCAAAACATCTTGTGTTTGTGGAAAGGTGGTGGTCATTTAAGCCCTACTAGGTGTCATGATTGCATCCTAAGGAGAGCCTCTGCACCTCTATTTTAGATCTGTTTGGTCAGTCAAGCCCTCAAGAAGATGGACTGTTTGGAAGTGAGGGCACTCCATTCAAACAGAAGGGAGGGCTTTTCAGTGGAGGAGGGAATCTGTTTGATGATGTAGATGGGGAAAAGGTATGTGTTGAAATTGAGGGGGTTGAGGAAGTGATACTTACAGTTGCTCAGTTTTTCAAACCAGAAGAAGTTATTGGCTCTTAAATTTCTTCCAGTTACAGTGGAACTTTGATATAACAAACTTCTATATAACGAAGTCCTTGGTATAACAAACGATTTTCTTTACCCCAGTAATAATATATGAAAAAGAACCTCAATATAATGAAACCTCATTATAGCAAACAAATTTTGCCAGTCCTTTGGCCCATCATCATATCAAGATTCCACTGTACACTGGAACCTTGGTATAACAAACCTCTTCATAGCAAAGTCCGTGGTATAACAAATGCTCTGCTTGGTGCATTAATATTAACATTTATGAAAAAGAACCTCCATGCAATGGAACCGTGTTATAGCGGACAAATTTTTCCAGTCCCCTGGCCCTTTGTTATATTAAGGTTCCACGGTAAATGGCTACCTTCACTAAATTATGGGGAAAAGTGCGAGAAATAGGAAATAAGACAAAAAATTTAAATATTTTGTAACAATCTCAGAATTGATCCTTAATTTTATTAAAGTACTAAGCTTTTAAGCTTTTATGCCCAGTAGAAAATGGTGCAAAAGGCTGCAGATTCTCACCATTTGTTTAACATAAGCAAACGTTCTCAGAACATTTGAGGATTGCATTGCTTTCTCTCCCATTCCAAACTGCTAAAGTCATGTCTGTGGGTATAATATTAAGTACTTATTTAAAATGCAGTCATCAAAGAGGAGGCCAAAACTGAGCCTTTTGAAAGCAACAGGAGAATAGAGTTTTACTATAGAGTTCAAAATAGATAAATATGAGTTTTAGCATTAAAGGAATACCTTTTTACTAAAGCTAATATACCCAAAACGTTGCTTTTTGATAAATTATGTATTGTGTCCGCTTTCATAGGAGGACTTGTTTGCAGAACAGAAGACTGAAGAAACAGATGAAGTGGAGAAGCCAAAAGAGGGTGTGTTCCCTTAATACCTTTACCTCCATCAAGTTATAAATATATACTTTGAAACTGATGGGTTTGGTGGTGAAAGTTGTTCAAAATGTAGATACACTATCCCCTGGATAAATCTTTATGTAGTAGATAACACACTTGGGTTCCAAATATATCTATCGGATAGCGGTTTATCCAGTGGATAGCGTTGTCCAACATGTGAACAACCTTGGCCAGGTGTTGATCCCAGTAAAAACATTGACTCTCTTTCAGTAACATGTGAGTGGCAAAGGTGGTGCACAAGTCATGCACTCTCAAAAATTCTGTAAATTTTATTGCCCAAAGTTACGATCTCCTTCAAGTCTTTTACTCCTAACAGCAGCCAATTTGAAAATTTGAGAAAAATCCTAAGTTATTTTGATTTTGTAAAGTACAGGAAAGCAAATACAATTGACTCTCTCTTGACGGACACCTCTATGAGATTGACACCCTAGTAGAACAGACATCTAAAGTTGGTCCTTACCTTTCTTTACCTTTTCTTTGACTCGCTATAAGATGAACATTACTCTTAGATGGACACTTAGTGCTGGTCCCAAAGGTACTCTTCTTAGAGAGAGTTGACTTAAGGACCATGCAAAAGCAGTGGCGGATCCAGGGGAGGGACTAGGGGGGGGGGGTTGCCTCCCCTTATGTTTAGACCAAACTGAGGCCCAAGAGCCCCCACCCCCTCTGCCCTCATCTCAGGGTCTGGATGACTGCCCTCTCTCCCACGCCCCCTTATCTGTAGGTCTGGATCTGCCACTGAAAAGTACTAGTTAAGGGGTTTCATTGAAATGGTAACACCACAGTATGTCATACGTGCTGACTCAAAAATTAGCAGCACAATATTTCTCCCTCCATATTTACTCCAGGAGTTAAAGAATTGACTATGAATAATATATGACCAATCTCCATACAACGGTGGAAACATGTCTGCAGGGTTTGCACACACCTTCAAAATCCTTGAAAGTCCTAACCTTTTAAAAAGAAAATTCAAGGCCTTGAAAGTTCTTGAAAATTGCAGTCAGTACTGGAAAGTCCTTGAATTTCAATGCTGACTGAATAGTTTAAGAAGAACTGCAATGGAAAAGGAGCAAACACAAAGACCTTCAGGATAAAATTCTCCTGATGTGGAAGAACTTAAAAAAAGGCATAGACTTTGCACTGAATGTAGTCCTTGAAAAATGCAAAATGTGTCCTTGAAAAGTCCTTAATTTTTTGTTCAAAAAAGGGTATGAACCCTGGGTCTGGAACTACGTTACTTTGGAAATGCATTGAGATCAACGAAAAATCCATGAATTGACTACAATGATATCTTTTCTCCTTTTATCCGCTACTAACCAGAAGATGGAGAGTCTTCATTAGTTAAACCCAGAGCACGAAGTACAGCTAGTGGCAAAAGAATTCCCGCTGGTGCAGTGTCTATATTCGGAGGTTTGTCAATACTTCTGTTCTCTGTTGTCGTAACCTGGGAAGCACAGGCCCTTTTACTATCATTTAACAGAAGGTTTGATGTGTCTGTATTTGACTTTGTGTTGTATTGGATTTATGAACCTTTGATCAACAGCTTGAAGTGCATGATTAAGTTATGTATACATGCAGGAGGGTTGATTAGCAGGGAAAAGCTAGAGTATTTTAAGTGGTAAATGGATGAATGCTTTTTGAATAGTAAACAGTTCAAATTGTTGACCAATCAGAGCACACACTTTACTCTTTTTTATTTTGTTATAACTAAAGCTGATTACCACTGCCTTCTTTGCACATTACACCAATGTATGGTGCAAATTATTGCTAAGAAAAAATGTTTCTTGGTAACAATGTATTTTTCTATTTCAAATTTGTTTTCTGTTAGATTCTGGATTGTTTGGATCACCTACCAAAGAGGTGAGGAAATCAGAGGATTCGTTATTTTTTGCTGCTGATAATATTTTAGTGCCTGTGTGATTTTATTGTAAGAAGAAGAACAGCAGTCAGATGTAATCAATATATAAAACACATATGCAAAAGTAGTAATTTTCTAATCTATTATCCTTTACCAAGGCTTTCACTGTTTCCTGCGAAAGTACCAAGGTGTCATGCTTACAGTAGCCAGGTGAAATCCCTGTCCCTTGGCAACTGGCACTCGGTGACAGCCCTACTCTATGGCTTGCTTAGTCCCTTCTGTGTAGAGGTTGGGCTGTGTTAATTGTCTTTTAATACATGTTACCAGGACTTATCTAGTAGCCTCACTAAAAGCCACTCAAAAGAGGTGTCAGAGTCGACAAAACCCAAACCCAAGCCGGAAGTGAAAGGAGGAGGACTGTTTGATGGTGATGATGAAGATGATTTATTTACCAGTACAACATCTAAGCCATCGCCTACTCCGACAACACAAGGTATGTTGACACAGAGTGATTGCTCAATACTGAGGCCTACACTGAATTGTGTTTTTCAAGCCCAACTAAGACAGCTGTTTCAAAAGAGTTACAGGGTCCCTAAAGTCTTGCAACTCTGAAATTCTTAGGCCCAACCAAAAATTGAGTACATGAGGCGTCCAGGCTGCTAGAGGACATTCCCAGCTTTCGTGTACCTTTTTGCTTAATCTTCTGTACGTATTGCAAGTATGTAAACAGCCTTATTTGGACTTCCACGAAGAAGAAATGGACTGCACAGAATGCAATCTGATCATGCACATTTGAACCTTCTATCACTCATAATCTAATCATGCGTGTTTTTGACAATCTATCACGTGAAACTTACGCAAAGCACTTCCATAACCTTCAGTTATTATTAGTGTAGATATCAGAGAGTTTTAGATTCTGTGACAAAGATGACTACGAGTATGAGATTTTCTCAATACTCAGTATTGCTCACATGTGAACCAGCGTCATTTAGGCGGGAAAACGTGATAGCCATCGTCATTCTACTACGATTTTTAGCGAGAATGTCGTAGTGGCAGAAATAAGTTGTCAAGTGAAGAAGTTTTATCATTTTGCTATCGGTGAGGGCTGAACCTCCTTCAGTGTAAATAACCGTACCAACTTTTTAAGTGAATAAAAATAAAATGAAGCTTTCCAGGGTGTCTTGGTTTTGAGAACACGCACAGACACTTAAGTTAAATCTCGTACTCGTACTCGTTCTCCTCCTCAAATCTAAAGCTCTCTACCATTAAAGGTGGCCCAACGGTCCCCTCTCCCCCCTCTAATTCCACCCATGACATTATTTATGTCTCCAACCCACAGAGGCCACAACAGCCAAGAAGCCATCATCTAAAAAGGTTGACTTGTTTGTTGATGATGGTGAGGAAGAAGATGATGGGGATTTGTTTGCCGATAAACCACCAGCAAAGGAAACTCATGCTCAAGCGCCACCCAAGAAAAAGGTTTGCTGTCATTCCATGTATACTCCCAGAGAGCCGTAACATATTGTTTTCGAAAAAATAATTCTCTGAGAAGTATTAAATAATTAATAGGAGCATGCGAAAGTCCTGCTGAAGAGGTTTCATTTGAATGGTCACTTCAGAGGATTCCACGGACTCTGCAGAAAATAGAACTACATACTGAATAAATGGCACCATGTGAAAGAGGTTTCATTTGAATGGTTAAACCAAAATTATTTTATCCACGGACCAACAGTAAGAACTGCATGCTAAATAAGTACTACCATGTGAGAGTACTCCTAGAGGTTTCATTTTAATACTTTCATCCATCGACCCAAAAGAAAAAACTACGTACTTAATGCCATGTGAAAATACTGTAAATCCTCTTTTAATATTATATGATATTGATTCTGACTGACTTTGTGTTGCATTTCAGCTGCCTGTAGGAGCTGTGTCATTGTTTGGTAGTTCACCCCCACCTCTTCTCATCAGCAAGAAAACAGAAGATGAAGAGGTGAGAGTTACTTGAACTGTTCAATACCTCGTGAGCAGAGGTTTCTTTCTTGCATGGCTTTTGGGATTTATGGAGTCGTTCGGGAGACAGTCTCCGATTTGACCGCGATTTTTTTTTTTGGCAAGTATTTAACAATTATTGGACGAGTTTGAACAAAATATGGTGATTTGTCAGTGGTGAGCAGATCAATTATTATTATTTATTTATTGATCTGCGAGACACTGACAAATCACGTTATTTTTGGATATCCGAGTTCAATAATTGTTTTATCATTCGATCACCAAGTTTGTTTTTTAATGAATGTCTTCGGGAAGCGAAGCGATCTGCCATTTTTCACGCAAGAGTGATCGCAGAACACACGACACAGTTGGACGACACTGCGCATAAGCAGAACATTATTTGTAGGCAGTTATTTTGCAGGTCACGTGGTGGACTTTCGACCAATGAAAAGGACGAAAAATTTGCAACGAATGATAATATCACTTGTGTGCCCCCTGAAAGTGAAATACCACGTGACATTTCTTACCCAGGCAACCCAGGGTGAATGTATCAAAAGAAAAACGTTGGTGTAAAAATTCACATATGTTATTCTCACTTGACATTTTGAAGACCATAACAATGTTATAAACACTAGCTAATAAATGGTTATTGTTTGGGACAGGACATAACCAGAAATGGTTATGTTTTAGGACATTACTGCCAAACACAGTTCGCCAAAGTTGCATGTGTCACTGCTGCAGGCCAAAATGGTCACAACTTGGAGTGTTGATTCCCCTTGATTTTTCTCTTCCTTTTTTCTCCATTCTTCTTTTCATTTATCTTTTTATCCCAACTTTCCTTCCCTTACTCTCAAATGGCAAGATCCTAGAACACTCTTTCTTTCTGGCTTCCAGGAGGATGACACTGGCCTCTTGAGTAAGCCCAAAGTGACTCCACCACCCAAGAAAGCCTCAGTTGAAGCAAAGCCTCCCCCTGCCACCCAGCCAAGCAAGCCAAAATCAGGGGGAGGTCTGTTCAGTGATGAAGATGAGGAAGAGGGAGGAGGGTTGTTTGGAGCCGCTGCTGTTAAGCCACAGCTGCCTAAAGTTGAAACAAAGTCAAAACCTAAAGCGAAAACAACAATAAGCTTGTTTGATGACGACGAACAAGACGATGAGGACGAAGACTTCTTTTCTGCCTCAGCATCTACAAAAGCAAACAGGTAATTTTTGCGTAGCTAAATGTAATTTATTAGGCGAGTTTAAAAACGAGACAATGCTAGCTAGGCAGCAGTCTTTAGGCATATGTAGGGCTCTAGTAATTTTACAGTGCTTTCACTGACGTGACGTTGCCTTCACGTGCAGTCGCTTTAAGCTGGTTTTGCTCCCACCCCTCCCGTCCCTCCAAATGTCAATTGAGGTTTCTGGGTAGCTGACTACCTACCCCTCCCCTAAGTCACACATTTGCCCCAAGTGAGAAGTAAGCGTTAATGTTGACTTAAAGAAGGCGTAGGTGGTCTGTTACCCAGAAACCTCAGTTGATCCAATGTCTCTTGGTGAGTGTCTCTGAAAGACTCCACTAAGGTTTTCAGTGTGACGGTGCCTGGTGGTTGCCACTCGCAAGTTTGTCATGGTTACCCTCAGTTTTCCCAGGTACCTTCCCCACACTCATCTATTGGCGAATTGAAAAATTATGAATCGAAAGACCTGTCAATAACTATTTGTGAAAGTTGCTCAGGGGAGTTTTCTTCCTGTTTTGTTCATTTGTTATTTTATATCGGTTAAAAGTAAATTTTTCGTTTACTTGTACAGTGTACCAGTCAAGAAAGCTTCAAGCACCGAGAAACCCAAAGAAGAAGTGAAGGTTGGAAGCGTCATTAAAATTATTGTTTTTTGAAAGAATCAAAGAGTTTTGCTGGGATAGAGTCCACTTGAGTGCTAAGCGTAGGTTCATCCGAGTGAAACTCTTTTTTTTAATTGGTGTTTGACCATTTTCACGCTTAAATTTACATGCACTTTATCACACTTTCTTTTTCTATACATCTATATCCACAAATCTAAGATTTCTTTGCTTTTTATAATGATGACATGAAGCCATCGAAACGTCATGTTTCTTTTATATCGTTGATTTTTCTTTTGAAATAAGATCTTTTCACTGTTAATTGTTTAACTCCTGCAGGAATCCAAGCCATCACGTGATAAGCCTTTAGGGCTCTTTGATTACGATGAAGATGATTTATTTAATTCCCCGTCTCCTAAACCTGTGCCGTCTCCAAATGCCACACCCACAGAGGTCAGAAAAAAGGTATGTCCTGCTAACAGGGTTAGAGAGTTGCATTTTCTGAATTGAATAGAATGTAATGGAATATAATAATCTTTATTGAGTTTTTATCGATGTAAATGGCTGATTCTTACAATGTCGTAAAAGAGCATTCTAGGAAAAAATTTAATTACATTTAGTGATAATAATGTGCAGACTAGGAAGCTAAATGAACGAATTGGTTTTCTTGATAGTTCCCTGAACATTTTAAGTTCTAGGGAGCAGTTAAATGATAAAAAAAATGCAAAGAAAAACAGAAACTAAGAAAGAACTTATATGTAACATGTTACATGAAAGAAAAAAAGAAAAATTATTTCAACAGATGACTTCTTCTATAACTCATAACTTTACGACTTGCTTGATGTAGCTATTGCTGTAATAAAATTTTGCCATTGAAGGTTTTGCTTTTGTTTTTAAAATCTGTCAAGAAAAAGATTTCGCGACAAGTAGGAACTCTTTAACCCCAGAGAAAGTAATTCCTCTATATTTGTGTCACGGCGTTATCACAGGCCAGTTGACTTTTAGATCGATTTTGGCACAAATACTCGGAAATCATATCTGACAATTCTCCCCCTGGCACCATTTCGAAGATTTTAGTTTAAACGAAGACAATATCTTTTCTTTAGCTTTGAATTCTTAGCCCTTTATGGCCAACAGTCAACATGCGTAATTATTATTGGCATTGTTTTCCGTGTACTAGGTATGGTTTAAGGAGAATTTGTTTTAAAATCAAGACGATTTTATGATACCTTTTTGTTTGAGAGAATTGTAAGGGTTAAGTCAAATTAATCAATGAAAGGGCGTTATTTACATTAGCAGGAAAAACCGAAAAGTTCATCCAAGATCCAGTCACTTTTTGATGCTGATGAGGCTGATGAAGGCACATTTGGTGAAGCGGCAGATGATATTTTTACTGCCTCACCGCCAAAGGTATACGTACGTTTGTCTTTTAGACTGATTTCTGTTTTGTAAGGCTCTTCCGTTAACTCAAAGAAGGAGTTTTTCTTATACACGTATAAATTATTATAAACGGCAGAGTAAGAACAGAACAGGAAAATTGAGGGAGACTGTGCTCTGTTACCCACTGTGACGTCATATATTTTGCACTGTTGTCAGCTTGGAGACCTGTGGCTGGAAAAGGCGGGAAAGAAGTTCATTGTTAGGTGTCACGTGACTTTGGAGTAGCCAAGTAGGGACCTGGCACTGGTGAGAATTGGGTTGCTGAAGTTGTTTTAATAGGGTAGCCAAAGTCGCTTGGGCCTCGTGCTCACCCTACTTGTCCCCACCCCCTCAATTATTGTCGAAAGGAAGTGATAGTGGATGACTGCAGGCTATCTTTTGACCATAATCATTTTTTTTTTCAGTCTCCACAAAAGTCGTTTGAGTCTGTGTCACCTTTATCAGCGGCTCTATCACAGGCTGCCCCTGATTCAACAGATAGGAGCATGATCAGCAACACAAAGCCCAAACAAACAACCGCTGCCCCGACCAAAACAGGCTTGTTCAGTGACGAGGAAGATGACTTGTTTGGTGGAAAATCAGTTGAAGAGAAGCCAAAGGTTGAAGAAAAGAAAGAAGTGATTTCTGAGAGCCCTAAACCAAAGAAACCTGTGGGAGGAGTATCCATGTTTGGAGGTGTGGATCTGTTTGCTGGCAAGAAGCCATCCTTTATTGGTGATGAGGCTGAACCAAAGCCAACAGTGGCACCCAAAATACCGGAAGGTAAGAAAGAGGTCCTCACTCCCTCCCCCCTAATTTCGGACATGTGACAAGGCTATAGCAGAATCAGAAGGTTCCATAAAAAAGTTGAAAAGGAGTCTCCCCCCTACCCCCAACCCCCTTTCCTGACATGCGGAAAGGCTGGGTCAGAAGAGACGACTTAGCAGGCACAGTAGAGAAAGAGAGAGGTCACCATCCCTAGCCCCCGCCCCCACGCCCCCATTTCTGACATGCGGCAATGCTAAAGCAGAACCAAAGGTTTTGAAAAAGCAAAAAGCAATGTTTTTTGTCCCATTTTTAGTGGGTTGCACATCATTTGGGTCCAGGATTCTTTTAAGCCTTTGTGCTCTTTACTCACAGGGGTAATCAGACTGTTAAGTTAGTTTGAGGTTAAATACAAAAACAAGAAAGTACTTGTCCAGGCCTGTGTGTCAAATCCTGTTTTTGTTTCAATTTTCAACAGCGAAACCAGCAGTGACAAAAAAAGGAGCAGATTTGTTCAATGACGATCAGGAAGAAGATGAGTTGTTCTCTTCAAAACCCAAAACAACAAAACCAATGGCACCAAAACCAATGGCACCAGCGGCTAAAGCTAAACCAAGTTCAGACTTGTTTGGTGATTCCACCGAAGATGACCTCTTCTCCGCACCGGCAAAGCCTCCATCCATCGGTATGGGACTGTTAACCCTTTGAGCCCCAATTCGTCACCATAGAAACGAGAAGGAAACTGGGCCGAGTTAACTTTGCAAAGACTTCTGGGATCCTTACTGGGGACATGCCGGTCAGCTATTGGCCAATTTTTTCTCTGACCCCAATAATCTTCCCATAAGTCATTGCGTAAGTTAACTCGGCCCAGTTTCCTTTTCGTTTCTTAAATGGCGAGTACCAACGCAAAGACTTCTGGGAATACCTTCGCAAAGACTTCTGGCATCGTTATTGGGGATGCTCCGGTCGGCTATTGGCCAATTTTGTTTTCTCTGACGCCAGTAACCGTCCCATAAGTATTTCAATTTGTGGAAGTTAACTCGGTTCAACTCCTTCTCGTTTCTAAAATGACTAATACCAACGCACAAATCCTTTAACTGGCCTCCATAAGTTCGAAGGAGTGGTAAAAATATCAATACAAGGGAAGAAAGGTTGGCGGAGTGGTGAGAGCACTCGCCTTCCACCAATGTGGCTCGGGTTCAAATCCCGGCGTGGACGCCATATGATGGTTGAGTTTGATGTTGGTTTTATTCTTTGTGGCCCGTTTCTCGAAGACCGGGAAACTTTTCAGTAACTTTTTTTATCTTCTCAATTTTGTCCATCCGTACCTTCATTTACATTTGCTACGTTATTTAAACCTCCCTTCAATGTTTTAATCGATCATTTTTGTTTCGCTAAATTCCGTGACCAGTTCTAAACGGCGGAATTTATCTAAATTTCGTGACTCACTTCTAATTTTAGAGTCTAAGCCTGTCAAACCTGTAGTCAGCGCGAAACCAGATGTAGAGGTTAAACCTGCAAAACCTGATAAACCTGTTGAACCAGTTAAACCCAAGAAGCCTGCTGGAGCTGTGTCCATGTTTGGAGGCGTGGATCTCTTTGGCGCCAGCAAATCACCGCCATCTTCAGCGGCTGCAGCAAAAGCTCACGTGACGGCTAAGCCAAAAGGTTAGACTTCGAGTAAAAGGTTTAATTGGGGACTACATGGAAGACTACAATTACTTCAGTTTCTGAATGTCTTGTGCATGTCTACACCACTAAATTACGATGTTACTAAAACGGAGAACGTGAACGGGTAACGAACACGGGGAACGGGAACATTGAAATATGTGAACATAACAGAGAGTGGGGTAATGGGGTTACGGATAGGGCTAGGGAGTAAGTTTAGGTTTCTTCCTTTTTTCCCGTCCCCCATGCTTGTTCCCCGTTCCCCGTTGTACGTTCCCCTTTCCTCTTTTCCTGTTCCCCGTTCCCCCTTTCCCGTTTCCTGTTCCCCGTTCTTCATTTTCCGTTTTCAGTTTCTGGTTTTAGTAGCATCCTACTAAATTCATGCTTTCGGGGTAACGCTTAATTGTGAATAGCTACCACAAAGCTAAAATTCTCCAATTGTCTCTCTCTGAATCAGGACACTGACAATATAGTTAAAGTTTAGTGTCCCACATTAAAATTCGTTAAAAGTGTTGGTTTTTTGTTTGTTTGTTTGTTTGTTTAGTTTTATTAGTTGAGCTGACTACAGCTGCAGGTTATGCTGTGTACTGAAATGTTTATAAACAGCAACGCGCTTGATTTTTCATTATTCGTGCAATTTTAGATCCATTAGCAGACGAGGATGACGATGAAAATGATTTGTTTGCCTCCAAACCCAAAGTTAAAGTTGTACAAGAACCCAAACCAGAGGTAACTTGCTTGTCTTTCCTCGAATAATGAGTAAAAGACAACTTTGCACAAATATAAACTGCATTGCCACCTCTTTTGTGAGCTGTGTCTCGAGTTCCTTATTACGTCAGAAAGAACAGAGTCAAAGCTCAATCTGATAGCAGCCTTCCTGTACAAGTACACAGCACAACGTAATAGGTAGCCACTCCCTTATCTGGAGAGCTTGCTCGCTGGTACGTCAAACTACGTCAGACTACGTCAGACGACCAATATAAACGTCGTAACGTTATTAGTCAATCAGTACAGTAACGTCAGGCTGACCCACTATCAATAAGGAGCTTAAGCAAAGACGTTTTGAGCGACGCACGTTAACCGGAAGCGAGGCCTTTTTCCTTTTAATATGCCTTGACGCTTCCAAGTGTATTAACTAAGTGTCTATACTCTTATGCAGATGACTTGCCTGAATTTTATTTGAGCATAACAACCGCTCATGACTGCGTCGCTCAAAGACGCCTTTGCTTAGCTCCCAAATAACAGCTCATTTCAGGCTACACTGACGCGGACAATCGTGTAGCAGTAGTTGCTCATTTCCTCAGGGATAGTAGAGTGAGCGACGTACACGAGCGCGCGTGGAAATTAGCCATCCTCGTCTCTCCCCACTTCGCGCGTGGCAATTTTCACGCGCATTTGGGTATTTCCCTCTTTCTGTTATCCCTGAGGACATGAGCGACTGCTCGTAGACAACCTCGTCGCCAGGGTCCTCTCGTTTTCCAATATGGCGGAGACTACATTTGAATTTTGAATAGGTCGCTTGACCATTCCGAGCGCTCCGTTTCGTCATGTGACTTATACCTTCCTGCCAGAAAGGCTGTAACAACTGTTCTCGGTTGAAGTGATCATGAATACTTACGGAAGAATTTGGCATGGCAAAACAATTTGACAAAGATGCAGTTCACTGTGTATTGATAATATTTTTTAGCGCGGAGGCGGAGATGATTCAACAGAATTCCTTCCTGACAGTTTTAGAACATTTGAACTGCAAACCGTTCTAAAAGGCAAGGAAAGTCACGTGGCCAAACAAGGTACTCGGATTTGCACGTGAGCTAAACAAAATTCAAGCGCGATTGGTGTTTTTATTCGAGGTGCTAACAGTTAAGTGATTTCAATAGAGAGGAGAAGATGTTACGTCAAGTTGCCATGGTAGCAAATTTTCTGGATCTCAACAAACCGTGGTCCTGCAAATTTGGCAGAAAAGAATGAAAAAATTGACAAGTACGACTTTCCTCTTCATGATTGCACTCAGGAACAAAACGGTAGCCGTTACTTTTCTTCCATCGTTCGACAGTGCAAATGGCCGTCTCTGTCAAGAAAGATTGTTGAGATTGAGCAATTTTGCTACCATGGTAACGTGACGTCTCACTTCTTCTCTCAATAGTAGTATTTCTGATAAATGTCCTTTTTGACAAACCTTTGTACTTTGTGATTGGTTATAACCCGTTTTGTTTTGGTCTTAGCCAACTCTCCCACTTCCGGTACCCAAGTTGGGGTCTTCCTCAGGTTCCCCCGTTGTTAGCCCCAAGACGTCACCGGTGAAGCCTTCTCTTGGAATCGAGAAACTCCAGGTATTTTGTTTTAGTTTAATTGTTTTTATGAGAACCGAAGTCGCTGGTATGAATAACAGCAATAGATTTAATTATCCTTTTGCCCTTATGGGGCTTTACAGGGATAACAAAACAAATAATTTAAATGGAACGTAACTTTCTTAAGAATCCCAGCAGGTAGGAGGCGAACCAGGTGGCGATTTTACAAGCGTGGCCGAGGATTTGAACTCGGGACTACCGAGAACAAATCCAGCTAACGATCAGGGCCGGACTTGAACTCTGGGATTCCGGATTACAAGTCCAGCATTTTGCCGCTCGTCCACGCTGCCGTGAAGTAAATTTAAACCAACTTCAGAGTTAAGACTAACAGTGGTTTGTTATCGTTAGAAATCGCTTGCTTTCAACCCCGCCATGTTGAGACCGGGGGCGACCCCACCCAAGAAAGTACCCGAAGTTACTGTGGCTTCATTTGATTCACCTGCTACCGTCACCACCCTGGAGAGTGCAAACAAGGTACAGTAACACATTCACTGTATTATGTTAGTCTTAAACTGGATGTGGTAGCATTATAAAGAGTGTGCAACTTGCAAATTCAAAAACACATAACTCGACACCGTCGGGAAAATAATTCTAAACAGTCCCTTTGTGTACCGCCAGTCGGTTTGCTGAATTGGATAAGCGCCGGTTTTCCGAGCGGTAGACCGCTCGTTCAAACTCCGGCCGTACTAACACTCAAGGTCTTTAAACTGATAACCGAGGAGAAAGTGCTGCCTTTGTAATGACATCTGCAAACGGTTATCTTTTCGGATAAGGACGATCCGTAGGCCTTTGCTTACAGCGTTGAATAAACAACACATTTTTTGAGATGTTACAGAACGCACGCACTATGTAACCACGCCCTTTTCGTAAAGAGTAGTGGACGTAGTCCTGAGTGTTGTGGTCTGTCTCAAGTTCACACTCATATAAACGGGATTTATCACTCATTTCATTCATTATTTGTAAACTGCACCATAAGCAGTCTGGCAGAGTCCTCCAACCAGTGATGTAAATTATCCCTGAAAAGCCCTGACGGGAGTGGATAATAAAATATTCACAATTTACAATTACAATTAACAAGTCAAAAGCTAACAGACCCTTTATAATCATTATTGTAGTTGTTATTCTAAGAGCGGAACGTAAACTTGGAATCGTATTTTTTTTCCGTTGTTGTCGTTCCTCAGGATCGCGCGAAAATTCAAGTTAAAAGACGCCCTCCAACACGCCAGGCACGCCGTGCCGCGGCTGCGACGGTTAGCGCCAGTGATGATACTCTTTTCGGAACTACTCCAAGTGACGTAGCAGGCGCGAGCGCGCGGTTGTCTTGGCCGGGTGGATTGTCCCCTTCAGGAGGATTGGGGAAGAGCGAAGTGCTTTCTGGGCCACGGCCACCAAGAACTGATACCAGAGACTCGGATATGAGTGATGAGTTCTTTGGTTTTTCGGGTTCAAGTTCTTCGAAGATCAATAAAGAAGACACATGGAAACCTCCTCCCATTGAAGATCCTTTAGCAGGGGGGCTTTTCTTGGCATCTGATTCGAAACTGAAAACTTCCAAAGTTGATGACCTTTTCGCCGACGATTCTGATTCTTTTTCCGTCTCGAGTGATAAAACGAACAAAAAGCCTACGGTCGTAGAAAATTCAACGAGCTCTGCTAATGATGATGATTTGTTTTCTATTGGTAACGCAAAGGACAAGGCTAACATAAAGAGCACAGATCCGTTAGGAGGGGGCGATATATTTTCGCCTAAAGCTCCGTCGGGAGAAGATATTTTTGCTCCGATCAAAGACGAGAAAACATTTCAACCAAAGTCAGAGACAAAACCAAGCAAACCTGTACAATCAAAGACTACCTCTCCTCTTGATGATGATGATCTGTTCGAGGCAGTAAAAAAAGACGATAAAAGCGTGGTAAATGCAGCCGAGACAAAACCTATGGACAAGGAAACGTTACCTATTTCAGATGGAGGGTTGTTTCCGTCGAGCTCAGTAAAACCTGAAATCAAACCCGATAAAAAGGAAACCAAAAAGCCCACTGCGGATAAAAAGTTTTCTTCTCCCCTTGCGGAAGATGATGATTTGTTTAGTGTGAGTGCGCCAGTCAAGAAAGATATAAAGCCATCGGGGGTTGAAAAGAAGGAAACCGACAAGCCAAATGCGGATAAAAAGTTTTCTTCGCCTCTAGGGGAAGATGATGATTTGTTTATCGTGAGTGCGCCAGTCAAGAAAGATGTGAAGCCGTCAGGAGCGGAGAGTGTCACTAAAAAAACATCAAGTCCAGCAACAAGTAAGAAGACCACGCCTAAACCCAGTTCTATTCTTGACGTAAGTATATATATATTTTTGCTTAATTCACTCCTAGCTGTGCGCGTTCCTTTTTAAATCAGTTATCTTAAATCTTCGCTCCTTTTTGGCCTCCTAACTTCCTATCACTACAGGGCTGAATTCATGAGACTAAAACTTAAGAACCACCCTGCACAGCGTAATAAGAACGAGCGCAGAAATTCCATACTGATGACGTGTCTTTACTCATATCTGGGTAGTACTTCTGATTGGTGAAAAAAATTTCCCTCTTAGCTCGACCAGTGAGAAGCTCTACCCATATCTGGTTAATGACACAAAATACAGTCATTTTCATTGAGAGTGCGCACTGGAGAAAAATGCCCCTTTCCAGGTCCCCTATCGGCTCGTTTTCTCTCCTTAGTCCTTCCTGCAAAGTCTTAACTCTACTGACTGAAAAAAAAAATTTAAGCAGCGACGTTCACGAGCGACGCACGTGAAACGGAAGTGGCGTTTTGAACTCTTCGGCCGTGATTTTGAACAAGTTCTTGGACAAATCCGTCTCTTTAAGAGTAAAGACACTTAGCTATAGAAATTTGGTAGCGTCAAGGCTTCTTTAAAGAGAAAAATGCTGACTTCCGGTTGACGTGCGTCGCCCAATAACGTCGCTGCTTAAACTCCCTATTGTTAGCCTGCGTGACAGACGCAAAAAAAAGAGGAAGAGCGCAAAAGGGAAGTGGTGGAATCATTCTCTCTCCAATCCCTTCTCCCTTTTCCCTCCCCTCCACCCGGCAAAAGTCATTGCCAAATTTCAAACCGAGAGGTACTGGGTCGAGTCCGTTTATTATGGGATAAACTGCACGAGACCCACATAGTCAGAAAGAGCACAATGAGGATAGAAACGTTCTCAAGTTTGGTGTTTATGGGGCCTATATTTAATGAGATACAGCCATTCAAAAGCTTATAAGAAATACATGGACGTCTGGACGGTGTGTCTTATAAAGTTTATAAATAGTTGTATCTTGCTCAGTTTTGGCCCGATTGTCACCAAATTTGGGATTTTTCCTAACCTCAATGTGCTCTTTCTAGCTCTGTGGGTTTCGTGCTGTTTATCCCATAATAAACGGACTCGTACCCAGTCCTGCTCGGTTTGAAAATAGGCAATTGTCTTTTATTGACGCTGGTCACATGGGTGATGTAGTTTTAATTTTTGGTAGCGCCAATTGGTTTGTGGCTAAAACGCATTTCAAGGCTGTGGCAAACGAGAATTAGCCGGCCTCGTGTTTACGGTGTAACGCAATGTTTCTCAACCAGTTCTCATGAAGCTCACTCGTGTTTCTATAGATCGCTTTCACTGTCACGCAACAAAAAAATGAATTGGAAACCGTCCAGTGAAAGAAGGCAAGAAAAAGGAAATGTTATAAAAGACTAATACATAAACAATTTGTCCTCCAAGTCTCAGGTCTTTGAGGCCCACAGTTTCTGAGTTATTTGCCGAAACGTTTCATGCACCTTTGTAGAGCTTTGTATGGAGACGCCATATTGGTACACCGTTTTGGTGCACCAATATGGCGGCCGGAAATCAACAAAAACATCTGGAGTCCACTTTTTCTATAAAAGCTCTTCCTTTTCACTCGAGAACTAGAATACTCGCGCATAAACATATCTTCTACTAATTGAAACGGTTATACTGCTGAAAATCAAGAGGAGAGATTTTTTTTAACGAGACGGCATTCCTATTTTGGTGTCACCCAAGGAACTTCAAATTGCAGTATTTTCGAAATGAAACATGCTGCGGGAATGGAAACTTGTACAAAGATTTATTTTTTGTTTATCTTCAACCTAGTGTAAATAAGAATTCGTAAAACCTCGCTATTTTGACTTTACAATTTGATGACGTCACTGTGAAAACCATCTTTTAATCTTACCCGTATGGTGATGTTGGCCAACCTCGTCCCCAGTGTCTTTTCGTTTTCCATCCAGGGGACGAGGTTGGATGAAGGTAATTATTTTCGTTGGTGTCATTTGGTTTATAGCTGAAGTAATTGATATTTTTCAATGTCGTGATGTGTCAAGAAAATCCATGAGAGACAAGTTGGGGCGAAAGGTGTAAATGTGGTATTGTTTTTTCGCATTTTCTTTTAATAGTTCCTGTTTCCATGGATTTAAAAGTTAACTTTGAGATCCAAGAAGTTGCCAATTTGCCAGTAAAAAGAAACCAAGCAACTATAAAAAGTAAAGTCATGATCCAATAGATGAAAAAGTCTTAGTTTGTTTTTTAAAAAAATAAGACTGTTGCTTCTACAGTCAACTTTCTCTAAGACGAACAGCTTTGAGATCGGTACCAAGTGTCCCTCTTAGAGAGATGTCCGTCTTATAGTTAGTCAAATAAAGGGAGTAAAGAAAGGCAGGAGCCAACTCTAAGTGTCCGTTTTCCAGAGGTGTCCGTTAAAGAGAGTCGACTGTATGCATATACGAAGTTTAAATTTCTCAAAATAGTTGTGTCAACATGCTAATTAGAATATCGCGTCGCTTTAATTCAATTTAATTTGGCATTTTGTTAGAACTCGCATGGTGCATATTGCGTGCAAAACGCCATAGATATAAATTTATATTAATTTCCTTGATGAATTGGCAATGCTTTTCGTCTGTATAATGTCACGTATTTATGTTCAATTAATTTTCTTCATGCATTAACGTAGTTGCCATTGAAACTTAAGGCTGTCACATTAATTTTATATTTTGTTTTAAACGTTTGAAGTTATTAAATTTTTAATGTGCAACTGGATCGGTTCAGAGCAGTAAAATATTTTGATGCCGTCGTCAAGTTTCTAGTCACGACCGAATTTTTTCACCCTTAATTATTGGCTTGTGAGGAAATTAGTGCAATAGATCATTTAGCCGAAAATAAAGCTAGTATTAAAACACTTTAAATACAACTCCAAATAGCCAATACTACAAACTGGCTAACTGAGGCCACGTTTACTCGAATCCGGATAGTTTTGAAACGGTAGATTTTTTTTACGCTAATCGACCTTCCCTCTACACGAAACCAGTGAATCTGCTCATCGAAACCGCATCTTTATGGAACCGCTCTCCAGCGATCTACTGATGTAAAAAGGAAACGGAAATTGCATGTAAGCGAGGCTGAACAGCCATTGAAGAGACTAGTTATATAGATGCGGGCAAATTGAAAGCGTCTTCAGCATAACAAAATAATCATGAAGAAAACAAAATTAATGGTCACAAATCTTGTGCATCTGCGAACTGCAATAACCCAATCCTGTGTACCAGAGGTATTTTCTCGCGTGCGGCGATCGAGTAAGGGGGGGCGATGGTCGGGCCCGCGCCTGGGGAAAAACGACCTGAAAGATGTAGTGGACGGCGGATCAGGTTGTTTTTCATGTCTGTTATTACATTTTGCAGCTCTACAGCTTCTGTAACCAATTTTTCTAAACAATGTTCTCGCCGAAGTAACGGTAAAGTTTACTCGAGTGTTTATTTCTCCTTTCTTCGTCCGACATTTTGCTTCATTCAAAGGCTATTAATCCTCGGTCACATGGAACTTCCGGTTATTTCTTGAATCGGTGTAGCCTGCGACCGCAGGCGTATTTCCGGTCGTCGCTTCTCTACCTCCGGAAAAGGACGATTCCCTTTTATGGGGCGACGTTTTCACAATGTAGGAGGGTAATGGACAGAGGCTATGATACGTCATCAACTTAAGATGAATTCATTAGTTTTACTTACTTTGCTGTTTGTAGGAAGATGACGATAACTTATTTTCAGTGAAGAAAGTGGAGCCCAGGAAGCCGAGGAAGGTGAATAAACCCCTTGGAGACGATGAATTGTTTGGAGATTCTGGTGACATCTTTAGTGATATTCCAAGCAAACCCAAGGACAAGAAAAAGAAAAAGTCTGCAACTACTGCTCCGGCAAATGACGATATATTCGCTGATCAATCAGCAGCTGGTAAGCTGTGATTTTTTTAAAATTTGTTTTACTTTGATGAATTTGTTGAATATCGTAAATGATTTAATGGATACCCACTCTCAAAAAAATGCCTGTTGTCTAATAAACGCCTACTCTACAATATTAAGTTTTCTTAGACGCCACTCTCTAATAAACACCCCCTGTCTATTAGCATCCCCTGTGACAATTACTCTAGAATTCTTGGAAAAAGCAAAAAGAAGCAAAATCATTCATGTTGTCTACTTTTTGAGAAATTTATCTCCTGAAACCGCGCTGAGAAGTAAGCCAAATTTTGAAGAAAGTTTACAAGGGAGTAAGCTTGTTAACAACTTAGAAATAATGTTAAAGAATGATCAAACAATTATTGAATTCGGTTTTCGTATGATGCGAAGAATTATTCAGATGGAGGAGAACATTTGAGGTGGAAAACAGCCTCTGAAATCCGTATAATTCTTCACATCATACTCAGCCTCGTTAAGTAATTGTTAATTGTATGACTAAGGATAGATTTAACGGCCATAAACTTTTTTTATATATTAGGAGATGAAAAATCGATTAAGAAGACAACTACAAAAGCAAAAAAGAAACCCGAAAAGAAGCCATCAATATTTGACGATGACGTGCCAAGCATATTTGATGATCCGCTGAATGCAACTTCGAAATAACAGAAACAAGGACAGCTTATAATTACAACATAGTATATGCCGCGAGTAAAATTTTTACATGTAGAGTACTTACATATTTTGTATTGAACTGAATATTTCCAGAATTATATTTTTGGTACTGTTCTTTCGCTCATCAGGAAACGCCCTAATTTTCAACGAAGTTAAACCTTAATTCAGGCTCTATTTTTGTTTCGCTTGGCAAATAGCACTAAAGAATGTTTTAGAGCTGCTACAATTCGTCTTGATATGAGGTTATAAGTGATTTAAGAGAGTCAGTGGACCTACAGACCCTTTTCTAAGCTGTTTGTGTAGAGTTGATCTAGACTATATCTTTCAAAACCTCATCTGCGTTTACCTGTTTAAGAACTAAAATCTTCCCTTGGCCAAATGTATGCCTACCAAGAATCCTTTGACAGACAAGGGAAACCTCTTTTGGATAGTAAAATTCCTTATCCATCCTCTAGTTCAAACCAAAGTGGTTCGTTGCAATATCCTTTATAACCCCGTCGTCTACAGTACGGGCAAGAAGATCCCAGGGGTTAAGCAGATGCGTACTTTTTTCTTATATGAGTAAGATTGTTGCATGGTTACAAATACTTTTCGAATTGAGGTTTCTGGTTAACTACTCACCTACCCCTCCCCTAAGTCAACATTAAAACGTACTTCTCACTTGGTGCAAAATTGTGACTTCGACGGGGGAAGGGGGAGAATGGTCAGTTACCCAGACACCTCAGTTGAACCTATTTTTCTTTAGTCTCCCTCGCAGTCGTTTTTCGGGATGTCACGCAACGTTCCGTGACATCCCAAAAAGAGGCTGCGAGGGAGACTAATTTTCCTTACGCTTTTGCGAAGCTCGTGACTGAAAACCTAAAATTTAGCGAGTATAAATAACGCCAAGGAGGAAACGCTTGCATGAAACGTTAAAACCTTTGTTTTAATTTATGCAATCCTGGTTCCTTTTGCAGGCTGTACCACAGCATTCGTCATTGTAACCTAGACTTTTGTTAATAATGCACATTTCCTTGTTTCTTTAAAAACAGAATATATTATAGGTCAATGAATTGAAAATTTTATTACGAGTTTATCCTCACTTAAGCTACATCTTCCGCGAAGAAGCAATTATGATCCGTCGTAGTGAATTAATCCCATTACTGTGTATAAGATAACGTAATGTGATTGCCAATAAATCAACCAAGAAGCGTGTTAAGATTGTAGAATGTAAACAGCACAATAAGAAAGTGGTGCTGACGAATTTTAATTGAATGGTTACAACGCCGAAATTTTCTTACAAGATTAAAAGTTGAAAATATGATTCACTGACTCCTTACGGAATAAGTCTTCTTTTTCCTGAATAAGTTATTTTAACTCTTGGAGATTTGATGGTCCCGGATGAAAGATTAACGGCGAAGTCGATGATAGCAGACGGTTAAACACTAGCCTGCGAGCCAGCTCAGTCGCGAGAAGTCACGCGACAGCAGCACGCGCGCGAAAGGAGACCCGACTGCGTGGGGCGGGCTTTCTCTTTTACTTCTCGCTTCGTTCGCCACAAATGGAGAGGTTACGCGCGGGCCAGTTTACTACAAGGAGAAGGTCCGTTCTTCGTACGAACTTGTCCTTCTCAGGATCATTTCGACCCTCATCACTTTCCCCAAAGATTTACAATTTAGTTCTGTTTAGTTTATTGTCAACCTCTAGCTGTATTAATACTGAATTACTGGTTGCCTGCGCAGTAGACAATAAATTATAACACTAATACTCAAATATCAAGTAGGGACTGGGAGCCTGACTCTGACTGCGGCGGTTTCGCGCGTTAATATTCTCACCAATTGGTTTTCTATGGCGGGTCTCCGAGCGGTCCCGTCTCCGAGTATGATGTCTGTCAAGCCCTACCCTGAAGATTCCTTTGAAGGAAACTCAAACAGAACTGAATGGTCAACTTCTTAATTGAGCTACTGCACCGCAGTCAACGATCTCTACAACAAGATGGACACTGTTTGGACCGGCCGAATGTGTCCGTCTTAGAAAGTTGTCTCCCTTATGGAGATTTAAAGAAATTGAACGGAGAGCGACAGGGAACGTTGATGCCCGTTTCCGTCGGCTCGCATGGTCTGAGCGAATTCGGTGACGTCACCGAAAGCCATGACCGTGAAGGCCTGGGTAAACCATCGCAAAAATTAAAACGTGTTAATTTTTTTTCAAATCTTTCTCATAAATGCCATAAGAATTATATAGACTTTTTTATTCCCTTAATGAACAGAACGTTCGGAGACTGTCAATAGATCAGCATGTAATTTCTCCTCACCGTTCACTGTACCTTACCTATGTTACTTAGGACTTCGGAGAATCTGTTCTTTTTATCATGAACTATTTTAACTTGGTGAATATCTTCATTCTCATGGCTTTCCCTCAGTGTTATTTTAAGAGGAAACTAGATCTTGCCACTCTTAGGAATTAAAAGGGTGCCAGAGGTGTTTGTTTTTTGAAGTGCATTTTCAGAGTGTTTGGCTCAAAATCAAAAAGCAAACAACCTTATTCCGTCTCTTTTGCGCAAATATTATTTGTTATATTTGTTTAGTGGCGGGAGCATGAAGTGTTATCCTAATTAACTCCAAAAGTATATTTGAAAATTGTATTTATCTTTCATACAGGAAATTAAAAAATGCTGGAAATCGCTTTCTCTACGGATATCTCTTATTTACAGAAATGACAACAACTTCTCTTTATCAAACATCCAGAACAAATAAGAAAGCCATGTAAAAAAAGGCCAATTATTATCAACAATTGGTTATTTCCATCAATGAGCTGAATTTTCTAACAACTGCAATCATGAGCTGCAATATAGTAATTTGATGAAATACAGCCGATGATAAGGGGAAGCATCATCTTAAGAAGCACGAGGGGAGGGGTGGGGGGTCATCAACAGAGTGTTATACAGTACCATTTCCACATACCTACTTTAGAACTTTTAACTGCTGTAAATGCACTATCTTCAAATTATGAATACAAACTGAATCACAACGTTTTCTCGACTTTTTCACAGGCTTGAAATGCAGTTTTTGGCCCCTTTGGACTTTTTCACAAATCGAAATGACAGATTTTCCTATCCTTTCATATACTTCTACCTGTAAAATCTCTACCCTTTCATACGCCTGAAGTCTGAAAAGGGTACTCTTTTCTGGCGGAGCCTCCCCGTATAGGCCATTATTGGGAGTACCCCCACACGGGAAGAAGCACTATCGTTTGTGTTATGGTTTTCAGTCTTTATCAACACGGTTCTTCCGCTTTACTACTATAAGGTGAGTTCCGGCTCTTGGAGGCCTGTGCGGTCGGCCCGTTGAGTAAATATAAACAAAACAGATTTTAACCCTTCGTGGAGGTTGCCATTTTTGCTACGAGATTACTCTTCCGGCTCCTTTCAGCAGCTGATCAACGTCGTATACACTTCAAAGCACATTGCTGTATTTTGTGAAAGAAAACCTGTCTTGCTCATACGCAATACTAGGCTCACCCTTTCTTCTGTACCCCCTTCATATTACGACCATTTTAGAACGCTTTGTACCTTTTAACTGCTGTAAACACACCGTCTTGTGAATTTGTCCCTAAGCCCGGCAGTTTTTGCTTCAACAACTTGTCACTGCTACTTTTATAGGAAACGTGTAGAGGCAACAAATGAGAATTCAAATTTGGATCTTAGGGTTTAAAGGGTTAAGTGAACAAAATCGCGTCATCCGGGCCACCGTCGAAAATGTTTATTGTGCACTTATATGTTCGCTTTATTTTTTGAAAGAAGCCTTAAAATGGTTAATTCAGCGATGAGAATAGTCAGGGCAAACTTAAATTTGTTTCGTCAAGGAGTTTTATTTATGTTATTAGATTAATTACAGCCTGCAAATCCAAATCTAGGGTCAGGAGATATGGGCTCCTTCTAGGGTAGATATTAGAAATACTCTTCCTTTAGTTTTTTCGCCGAGATGTTGCCAAATGCCCGAAAATACAAAAGCTGCCTTAAAATCTGTCCTGCAGATTTGAAAACAAACTGTTTAGGTTTAATATTTGACTCCCAACGAGAATGTTAAAAACGTTATCAAGCTCCCCACAACTGGAAAAATATGCACGTTTGGATCGCGGAAAACTTAAGTGAGCGTCGGAATGTCTCTGTGGAATGGTGACTTCCTCCTCTCAGAATGACAATTTAAGCTTCGAAGAATTTCAACTAGCTTAGAGGCTGCCACTGCCTACAAATACATTTATATATGTATGTTTTAATTGCCCCATGTATAAAAGACAATCCCGATTTGGAATCCGGGAAATTTTTGCTTGGGAATCCGGAATCCTCGGTTTTAGAGTGCGCGCGGGAAAGATAAGAAGAAGGGACAAGAGGTGTCTTCTCTCTTCGCTTCCTTCGTCGAAATGTTGTGTCAGTCTCCTGCGAACGATCCGCAAGACCGCAACCGCGTAAATGACAAGAGATGACTGGGCCCTGGGGACGAGCCAGCTGCCTTCCCACGCAGCGCCCACCCCCACACCCCACCCCACCCCCCAACTCGCCCAAACCCAGCTAACAGGGCAGGTATCGGAGAGGTAAACGGAACATGTGCATTGGAGAATTTCAGGTCAAAGTCCAACTTGTCGTAGTATCAAAAGTCACCCGTCATTTTATGAGGCCTTTTAGTCAGACCATGTCGCTTGGCGATAAAACATCGTTTAAAGGTGACCGCAGGTTATGAAAAGCCTCGTGTTTCGTGTAAGAAAAAAACCGGTTACAAATATGTCATTCGCCCTAATTTTCACAAGCAAGATTTCCTCTCAGTGGGAAAAGTCTAAAACTCTTGATATCAATTCAGCTTAACTCGGGTTGGCTACCGGCATTTCATCAGTAGTAGTGACCGACAGTTCATCAAGACAAGATAATGTTTGAATAGACAGATAAAAATTGATTATTTTGAAGGTTTAATCATAACCATCCTTAATTGCAAGCTTACCGTGTAGACGTTTTTCAGTACAGTTTGTTTTCAGTTAATATGCTTAAATACTGCGAGCCGAAGTTTCTTTGTAGCGCGGCTTTGATTTACAAAGTCGTTCGCGTGGCTTGTCAGTCACGTGCTAGTTGAAACCAACAACGCGACTGACAAGCCACGCGAACGATTTTCTAAATGCTAAAAGCCGTGCCACAAAGAAACCTCTGCTCGCAAGTTAGGCCTTTATATATTACGCTTTTGTTTTCCACTAAAATGCTCCACCTTAATTCTCCATTTGTCCCGCTAAAATGCTCGGTTACCCCCAAAAAAGTCACCAAAATGTTCAATAATGCTCATCATGCAGAGGCTTTTTTTAATAATTCTAAATGTTTTACTGTAAGAGGGTTTACGGCTAACAAAAATGTATAAGTGCTATGACAATCTTTACAAGTGAATAGTTTTAATACAGCAAAAAATTATCATCTACATGCTGTAACAGCGTTTACTTCAAATTCCTTTTGGACCTCCTTTTCCTTTAAATCGAACGCGACGCCAAACATGAAAAAATAAATTGAAAAAAATTTAAACCCAATCCCAATGTTTAAACTTTTTAATTACAATCGTTTGTCATCAAGTCCTGTTTGATTTGAAAATCTACGTCTCGTGTGAAATTTGAAATGCCCAGTAATAATCAGTGAGTAACTGACGAAGGTCAGGAGCTCACAGGTTCTTGACGTAGGTGTAAGAGTTTCCTTGAAGAATCACAAGTGTTCCAAAAGAAATGCTTTTTAATGTAAGTGCTGTTTTCGAGAACATCAGTTTCTTAAAACATAGGAAGAAAGTCGCCGACTGATTGACATTTCTTTTTATTTGTTGTCCCTTTTTTTGACAGTGAATAATCACAGTAATAAACATATCATCTGAGGAAATTCCCTTAAAATTACACTCGAGTAGTTTTAAATATAATCAGGAAATCGTTTGTCGTGCATGTTCCCCGCACAGCTGCCTGACTGTATTACCGTCGAGTAATTTTATTTTAATTGACCAGTTACACCAAAGAATCATTACTTTATAGACGAATATGTCTGGATCAGAATGATCATGTGATATGCTCCTTTTGGTACTCCAACAAAATTTAAAGAAAAATAACCCATTTTTTCAAAAAGCAAGATATAAGGCAAAATTATGACATCGCATTTCTTTTCTTACCACAACTTAAACTCTTTTTTTTTACGAGTGTTCGAGAGTTTGTTAATTATTCTTCCATTGTATTCGACTTCTTTTCAAACATCCCCAGGCAACTCAAGATCTGACGAATA